TTTGGTGAACGGCTCCAAATTTTCTTTAACGGAGAGTCTTCAGACTGATCTGCGAGTGAAACCTTGAAAGCTCGCGAGATCAGGATGGTCTCACGAGGCTAATAAAAGTAAGAGAGCAGGGGGGTTTAAACGGATGCCAAGAACATGTTGGGGGCCTTCATGGTGTTTAATCCCTATGAATAAAAGGTCGAAATCGTACGTGGAGAGTAGGATACTTTTGTTTAAAAAAACAAAATTGCTCATATGGTGATTTATGACAAGGTTTGCACTTTTGGCAGAATTTTGACTTAAATCATATATAAAGTCCGTATTTGCACAGTATTTCCTTTCTTGTAAGTGTTTTTTATGCACAATTACATATAAACATTTTGTGTTTTTACATTTACCTCACTCAGTTACTTTCCTTTTTTGTTTGTTTTCTGTCCTTCAGTTTGTTAATAAGACATGTTTTTCTTATAATGTAAATTTGCCCTAACTATAGTCCTTCTTTTTTCTTAATTTTTGTATTCTTTATCTTTCTGTACTCTTATCTCTTCTCTATTGCAATTTCCATTCCACATTCTATTCCATTCAAACAAACTGTAGTACGACAGCAGCTGATGAAATAATTTGTCACTTTATATAATCAGACATTGTGTTTACAGTAACGCTTTTCCCAAATGTGTTTGGCGACAGAGGGCTGTCCTGACGGCTGGATAGAGTTTGCTGGCAGCTGTTATCTCCACTCCACTGACAGACTCACCTGGTCTGAAGCCGAGCAGTACTGTAAGGAGTTCAGAGGCCACCTGGTCAGCATTGGTTCACAGGAGGAGCAGCAGTTTGTCAACTGTGAGTAGTTTAAAGCAGATTCTTAGCTAAACCTTCATATATGATCCCTGAAAGCCAGGCAATGGGAAAGATTTTGCAGAGGTTGCACATATAAATGAAAGCTAATGACGATGAGGCGTCATTTACAGCCCCTTACAAAAGCATTCAAAACAAAGCTTGTGTTTAAAAAAAAAATTCTCCATCACTTTTTTCACATTTAAAAGACTAACTTGAATGTGTTTGTTCAGATTTAATATCATAGCCCGACACAAAGTATAACTGTGGATTGACAGTAAAGGATTCTGAAATAGTTTACCCGAAAAAGTTCAAAATGTGTCTCTGTTTGTGTTTAGCCACTTTTACTCTAAAACAGACATATTGATATATCTCAGTATAAATCCAAGGAAACCATCAGATATTTTTTACAGAAAATGTTAAACCTCAATGCCAAGGAACACAGCAGAAAGGTCAGTCATAAAGATTTAAGAACCTCAGAGGTTATAAAAAAACAATATCCCAATCCATGGACATTTTAGTTAGAACTGCTTTGGCCACCCAAAAATAAAAATAGCATTGTAAAACTGCAAACCTACCAAAAGGCTTTTGGATACTGTGAAGGAGCTGCAGAGTTTCAAAGCATATTAGTCAGATGTGTGGCAATTAGAAGACACCAAAAAAGATGCAGGACAGTGGTACTTGTGGAGCCACTGATACATTGATCCACTGATATAGGGGACCCTGCAAAGACCATGCTTCTCTGGTAAGAGGACAGCAAAATTTAAAGTTTTAGCTTATAAGCAAACAGACAGTCATCTGGGTAGTTCAGGGTCGAATTTTAGGTCTGCAGCCTATTTTCCTTAATTTGCTTCGGGTCGGAAGTTCCGGCGATGTTCTGCAGATGTGAGGTCAAGTGCATCAATGTTAAATTTGACTGACCTAACAAACATTGAAGCGTTATATTCTAGATTTGTGGATACTCACAAGCGACTGGCATCCAGCTCGACCGAGATCCCAATGGTAACTCCACATAAGGGGAAAAAAGTAAAAAAAAAAAAAATAATGCCTCTTTAATGGATTGGTGCCAGAGAATTCAATTCACTTTATTTATCTAGCGCCAATTCACAACACCTGTTATTTCAAGGCACTTTACAGTTCACCAGATCATACAGTCAAATAGATTAAAAGTTTTCTATCTAAGGAAACAGGTTGATTGCATTGACTCATTGGCTCGAAAGTAGTACCTCCTACTAAGCATGCATGTAGCAACAGTGGAAAGGAAGAGAGCACACCCAGCCAGTCACAGTCAGAGAAACAGGACTACACTGAAAAACAGGCAGATCTCCAACATTTATAAACAAAGGTGTTGATGTCACAGCCAAACAGGAACAAGAACCCCAGTGAAGCAGTTGAGATCAAAAATGGTTAGAAATGGTCCAATCAAGGTTCAGATCTTAATCCAATTCATATGTTTTGGCAGAAATGAGATACTTTTATGTTTTCAATTAGTCTCAATCGGGTCAGGAAAGTTTGTTTCTAAATTGTACCCATTGTAACTCAAGCAAAAGATGGTGCTAAAAAGCCATGCCTGCTACACTTTTAGACTTTAAGTTATGAATATTATCATTCTACTATATGGTGAGTAATATTTGCACTGAATTGTACCAACTTTCTGTTTTCCAGCCAATGGTGAGAACTACCAGTGGATCGGACTTAATGACAAAGATGTGCAGAATGTTTTCCAGTGGACAGACGGGAGTCCTCTGGTGAGTTGGACTCAGCTGCTCACTGTTGTCATTGGCGGCTGGTTAGTTTGACTTTTGTAAATGTTGATAAAACTGCAGCTGTTTATCCGATGTTTTGATCAGACTTTTGAGAACTGGAGGCCCAACCAGCCAGATAACTACTTTGGTTCTGGTGAGGATTGTGTGGTGATGATCTGGCATGAAGGCGGCGAGTGGAATGATGTGCCCTGCAATTACCACCTTCCTTACACCTGCAAGATTGGACCAGGTATGCAGACTAGTCACAAAATCACTCATCCTCTAAACAGGCTGAGGCTTGAAAGTTCAAGAGTAACTTCTTTTTATGTACATCAATGAAAGATTGTGTTGATTTAATGCATTTTATTGCTAATATCTAGATGTTTAATTCTCCGTCTGAGCTGGTACTACCAAACTGTTCTCTGTTAAAAATTTCCCATGTCTTTTATGTTTACTGCCATAGCTTAATCTCACACTGCCATGTTACATTTTAAAGAAAAAGTCTGGTTAGCAAGGAATAATCAATGGATCATTATTTATACCTAAAACTAATACGTTTGCGGTGATTTCATCAATTTAGCGTTAATCAGTAAAATAATAAAAATTATTTTCGTCAGGATCACTGAGTCTGGGAGCGGCCATTTTTGCCTAGATATAGTAACCCCTCCCTCCTGCCATCTTCCAGCAGTGACGTCACGGTGCGGTAAGCCTAGCGCCATTCTCCCCGCTTTACAAGC